AGGGCTAATGATCTCGTTGTCGGACTAACAGGCCTATTCACCGGTGTAGCCCTTTCATAGGGATGATCACGACGAGGTACAACTCTTGGTCGAAGTGACATCTCCGGTATATCCCAATCGAGACCATCTTGATCCACATTATCTCGCAAACGAGGTGCTGAGATCCGTTTAGGTCGGGGGGTATCATGAGATACTGAGGAAACAACTTCTTGCGAGATAGTTTGTGAGGAGTCGCCAGGACTGATCTCAACTTCATAGCAGGCTGAGGGCGTTGGGCTAGGAGTGGCAGATGCAGACTGTAGCGATTCGGGACCAGGACTGGCAAAATGGACGTGATGAGCTTCTTGGGATGTCGTGGGCACAGCATCACTTTCCGCGGACCAGGTATCCCGCGATCGCTGGGATGGAATGACGCTCTAAACACTTCTTAATAGGCTACCAATCAAATTGTGAAGGAAATTCTAGTTGTCTGACACCAAGAAAAAAGTTGAAAAATAGTCAAGGCTGTGACACACCTCTTGTTGATCAGATATGCGTCGTTTTCGAATTACTGGCGGCGCACCCCTTCTCGGTGGAGCCTCCAAATCGAGCCCAGAGACCTCTACCAGTATGCCATCCCTGGAATAAAACCACACGACATAAAAGAGAAATCGCTAAAAACAGAGAAGATAGAACCTTGGCTATAAAAATAGACATTTACCTGAACGTATACCTCTTCTCTGGTTGTACGTGAACAGAGCTCAATGAGGAACGTGCGCTGCTGAAACAAATGCTCTCAATAACTGAACTGTGCTGGTCTCCCGAATCAACCCAGAACCAATTTTTGAATATTGAAAAAATATGATCACCTTTTCTGCGACGGGCCATATGATGAAGAGTCGGATCTATAATACAAACATTGCATTTCAGGACTATGGTAGAGTAGGTTGGCCAAAAACTTCAGTTGACGTGGAAATTATTACAGAACCTATCAGACTATCAATTAGTTTAGAAAGCATTTCTTTACTACTACCAATCTTCAACTATTTTGCAGTTAAAGATCAAAGTTGTATGTAAATATGGCGGCGATCGGATATAGATAGTCATCGTAATATTATTATTATTTTTTTTTTTGACTTTCCAAGGTTTCTTTTCCTCTAATAGATAGAGCGGTGATAAATGTAAACGATAGCTTCAAGCCTTCAAAATCTCATGGTATAAAGCAGGAGTTCTCAGCCTAACTATTGGATTTCCTCCAAGTTAACCCATAAAATGTTTAACCAACCTAAATTTTTAGGCAACAAAGATGCATTTAAGAAAACTCAGAGCATCAAATTTCGAGTCCAATACCTGAGGTAGGAGCTCAATCCACATTTATTCCGTTTTGTACCCACGATTTTTGTAAGCTGATAAAAAAATTCAAATAATTGCTTCCTATTGCCATAGCCATCAAAATAGCCTCCTTTATTCAAAAAGTATATAGTTAATCCCCATGAGATGCTTGCCAATAACTCGGCATTTGAAGGGAATGCACTAATATCAATTGTCTAGTATCCGCTAATAAGAATCACATACACTTAATCTTACCCTGATGCAAAGTTTTCCGCCTTCACGGGAAAAGG